TTATTTTAGAGTAATGAAAATGGGTTGATAGAGTGCCCCTTGTGTTTAGCTGAACTTCCAGTAGAATTGTTTCCTATAATACAATCGTGCCATCATAGAAGTTGCTACGATTGTTTTCAACAATATCTCAAAGTTGAAATATCCGAGTCTAGAGTTAATATAGCTTGTCCAGAATGTTCTGAACCTTTGCATCCAAATGGTGAGTAAAATAATTAATATTTAACAATAATCACTATCGAATGCTGACTTCTCCGTTATAAAAGAATAGTATTTGATCGAATTATCGTCATATTACAGATATTCGAATGATTTTAAATAACCCGGTTCAACTTGAAAAGTATGAAGATTTTATGGTGAGGCGAGTCCTTGCAGTAGAACCAGATGCAAGATGGTGTCCAGCACCAGATTGTAGTTTCGCTGTTATTGCTGCGGGATGTGCCTCGTGTCCAAAATTACGGTGTGGAAGACCAGGTTGTGATTCTTATTTTTGTTATCACTGTAAAGCTCGATGGCATCCTAATCAAACGTGTGATGCTGCTAGAGCTCAACGTTCGCAATACTACGAACGCAGTTCGTCTCTTAGTTTTAGTCAAAGTGACTCGCAGCACAGTACGTAATTTTATTTTATAATTCCCAACTTTATGAATTTAGATATTACTTTGTTTCTCTTTTAAATCTTGTACTTATAGAATTAATTTAACACAAACGAAAGTTACGTATACGTAACCACAAAATAATTACTTTGAAAATATGAAATTTATAGATTATAGGTGTAAGGTAATAGAAACTCATATAAATCATATTAATACTGCATATTTCATTAGGAGATGATATTAAACCGTGTCCACGCTGTCAAGTTCTTATTTTTAAATTGGACGATGGAAGTTGCAATCATATGACCTGTGCTATGTGTGCTGCAGAATTCTGTTGGCTTTGTATGAAAGAAATTAGCGATCTTCATTATCTAAGGTAAAGAACAACATTTTTTATTTAATTTGAAATAAACAAATTTTTGAGAAGTGTTTTTGAATAACTTTCGAATCTATTGATTTTATGAAATGGTTGTAATAATTTATTATATAATGTTATATTTGATTTCCATTGTGATAAATATTATTACAGCTTATGTGCAATTTGATTGTTTCTCTTTAGTCCGTCCGGTTGTACATTTTGGGGTAAAAAGCCATGGTCTCGAAAGAAAAAAATTCTCTGGCAACTTGGCACGCTTGTAGGTGCACCAGTTGGTATCGGTCTTGTAGCCGGTATTGCCATACCAGCAATGATTATAGGTACGACGAGTTAACGAGAAACGCCTGTATGTAAAAAAAAATTTCGCAGAATTTTAAATATATAACTTATGCTAATCTACAGGC